TCTTTTTTGCCGTGTATAGAGAGATTAATTGCATTTTATTCCTTGCAACTTATCTTCTAGAGCTTTCTCGACCTCTACATCTTTGAATCGTATGAAGGCAGAGTTCATTTGCTTATTATCTTTCTTAACCCCACAGTAAACATCAACCACCTTGACAAACTTTCCGAAAGGCTTCCACAGTTCCGATTTCCTCCTCCCACTTAGGGGGTGTTTGGCTTAGCTTTTCAAACCCCAAAAGTCCTTTTTGGAAAAGTTACAAAAAGTCAGGATTTCCTGACTTTTCCAAAAAGTTGTTTTTCCTTATGTAAAAACTTCAAAAGTTACTTTTAAAACCAGTTTGCCAAACATCTTTTGCTTTTTTTTCTTTTCCAAAAAGGACTTTTGGCTTTGAAAAGCTAAGCCAAACACCCCCTTAATCCTGCAACTTATATGTTTGTTAATTGATTGCTATTCCATGCCTTATTCGCTGTTTTTTCTTTCGGCCGAACCTCCACCCAGTCGTCATTTAGACAGTGACCTCTCATATTCTAGACTCAAAATGAGAGTTGATATGATATAAACACACAAGGGTTAAAGGCTAATGGATCTAGTTAGAAAGCCAACAATCATTTAACTATAGTGTTTTAGAATACTATATCAATAAGAATGACAAATTATCAAATCAGATAATCTTAATGGTTGATCCATACATGGTAGGAAACACACACTTCTAGACTTCCTAACTAGGGATGTCAACGGGGGCAAACGGGGCGGGGCCCCCACGGGAACGGGGTCCCACGGAACTTTTTGACATCCCTATTCCTAACTTGATCAAACACTTCTCTTTTTCCTCTTTGCTGAATTTGACGCAAAGAGAGTCCGTGGGGAGAATACAATGACTAGAGACTATAGCTGCTTTAGACAGAGTAGTTAAGGTCTTGAAATTTTATTATCTGTTGTGTAAATGGCCTAACAATACATCCTTATTTATGACAATAGTGAGCTTTTTATAAACGTTATTCATCTCAATAAGTAAAACCCAGAACTCTCTTTACTATTAACTCTTAATAATAAACATTTTAGTTAATAAAACCTTTTAGTTAATTAACTACGTATTTGTTTCATTAAACGTAATAAATAGCAAACTAAATTTTTTTTTAGAACGGCAAACTAACTTTTAATTCTTGTTTATTACTAATTGATAAATTATAACATTCATACACTATAAATATTATATTTATTTCTTCATTTTGCTGTTAAGCGTGTGACCCTAATAATTCACATATGAATAATATATTTTTTTTGCTCGTGATATAGTATGTAACTGAGATTTTTGTTATCTAGTGATTGTATATTAGAGTTTTTTGTTTTTCATCCGGTCTAGACCCTTCGCCATCGACTTTGATACCATATGTAAACGACTTCTTCCTTTTGTTTATTCCCCATTTCCATTCAGGAGGTTGGTGATTAATAGTAGACCATGCAACCATTAACATTGTTGGCACCATAACGCAATAAAGACAACAAGAAAGTAACCCTAAAACAACATTTTCCTTCAATACTCCTATTTTTCGGAATCTTGAAATGATCGGTGCCCTCCTATAACGAAACAACATCGAAAAAACAACATAAAGATAAGTTGAAAAACAAAGTCAACAATTACGGTAGATAGTCAACGTCTCAATGATCGTCTCTTGGGAGCTTTTTTGGAAAGAAAAACAAATAAATTGAAGTAACAAATTGCATTTCCGTTGGGTCTAACATAAATATGATAAAATCTTGGAATTCGTTACTTAAAATAAATAAATAAATAAATTCAATGCTTGAAAGGTTAGAAATCTCTCGTTTGGTGGGAGGCTCACTTTGCTAAATACCATCGTCGTAAGTAGCCTACGGCCTATCACTTTATTATTTTTCCCGATATAAAACCTCTTTGACAGTCATTGAAAATCTTGAAAAAAATGAAAAGATAATTTCTTTGGAGCAGAAAATGAAATTGTAAGAAAATATGTTGGGTCATGGAATAAAATTTTAGCTCCAAAAAGTAGATGTCGACTTGGTGTATCTTGCCTAAAAATTATGAATCTATCGTTACTTATCAAATGGTGGCAGTGTCTAAAATTGGATACGGATGCCTTATGGTGCAATGTTGTTAGCTCGACTCATAAATAGGAGAGACATAACTCTTCAAAAATGACAAGATCAAGCTACTCTGAAAATTGGAAAGAAATTACAAAAATTAAGTTCATTTTTAAATCATCTAATACCGACTTACATGTTTTATTCACTAGAAGAAACAGGAATAAAAACAAGCATCATTTTGGCTTGATAAGTAGAGATGCAACCAACCATTCATGAAGTTATTTCCCAACCTTTTTGCACTTGAATATGCAAAATTTTGTGTTGTTAGTGACAAATACTCATTGGTGGACAATGAGGAGTGACTTGGCGATGGGATTTGATCCGAAAACAAAGGACGTCACTCGAAATCCAACAATTTTCTACGATGCTCTGCTTGTTGTTGAACATTATTTTAAGTGATGCCGCTAACTCGTGGGAGTGGAAAGGTGAAAAATCGAATAAGTTCAGAGTGGAGTCCCTATGCTACTTAACATCTAACATGTTCTTAAATCTATAAGCGATACATTTTTCTTGGTTGAAATTGGTTCCAACACCTTTTGTTTTGTTGAAAGCTTTGACAAGATAAATTACCCACAACACTAAATTTTATCAAAAGGGGTATGACATCCATACAAGCCATATATACTTTTTTTCATACAGGAAAATATTCTAGTTTGCATTTATTCTTGGAATGTAATTTTACAACTTAGGTTTGGAATAGAATTCACATATGGTGCGGGTTCACTTGTATAAACCCAATGGACATTAGATCTTCATTAAGTGGAAACAAGTTTATTGGCAAAACCAAAAAGGCAACAAAACTCATTCATACGATTGTAGCGATGACTTTTTGGAATCTTCGTAGATTAAGGAACGAAGTGATTTTCAAGAAGGCGAAACCTTGTTCTATGAAAGTAGATCAAACTACGATGATAGTTTTTACGTGGATAAAAACATAAAGGAAAGAAAAACTCTATTGTGCATCAAGCCGTTTGGTTGCTTATGATGTTCTCTTTGTTTTCTTGTTCTCTTTGTTTTCTTGTTTATCTACTTGCTCTTATTTATTTTGTACTATTTTGTTTTGGCTAGCTCATTGTTAGTTTTGTTTTTTATATATATGTCGTTTTTTTTGTCGTTAATTTTTTTTTTCTTTAGTTTGTTGTATTATTTCTAGTTCTGTTTGGCATGTCCTAATAGTCATAAAAGGCCCATATTAAAATTAAAATCGTGTTCTTGAAGTTAATAAATAACAAAACAATTCATATTTTTTTTCTTTAAAATTTAAAAAATATGAAAAGGGTATAAACATAATTTTACAATGAAAAATGAAAGAAAAGGTATGCACACACCATGGTGATTATTGACCAAAAATAAGAAAAGAAAAAGATGGAGAAGCATGATTAGGTCCAACATATGCCATCCATGGTGGAACCCATACCTTACTTTGTATGTGGTCCACCTACTTATATTGTGTTGTTTCTTGGACCCTCCATTTGATACCCATCGACGAAAAATAAAACAACCAAACAATATAAAATCATAAGGCTTAGTTGGGGTTTAACCACATCCTTCTCTTTCAAAAAAAATTATTTGGATTGAGTAAATCTTAGTGTTTATTTATGTTATATTTCTATTCATCTATGATAGAAAAAGAGAATCAATAAGTGCAAAATATAAGAATAAATAGTATGGTTGAGGGAACTAGTTGGTACCTAAATATTATAAATTGTAAGGTGAAAGTTGTGAGTTTTATTTTTATAAAATATTCGATAAAAATAACTATAAATTTTTAAGATATCATTAAAATATATTAGATGATGTAATACATAAAAACAAAAGATTAAAAGCTTGTAAAAACTCATAGTTTTGGATTATGAAGGGTTTTTTAAATAAAAACTTTTAAGTTTTAAGTTACATACTTCTAAAGAAAAAGAAAGTTTTTTTCTTAAAACTTCAATGCTTTCTTGAAATATAAAAAAACCGTTGTAAAAACATATCTTTAATACTATTACTTACTAATACAGTAAAATATATATTGTTAACGATGTTTAACTTACTTAGTAAGAGAGCCAATTTGTGTTAAGTATTGACAACATAATATCTATTAAAAACAGTGTAATGATAAACTTTTTGTCAAAAAATAACGAAAAGAAGTTTATAAAAATGGTTGAATTTTTGTTTATTCTATAATGTTTTTACTCTTTTATTTTATGTGATACAATGGTTTTGGACAAAATATGTGATCACTTTTCGATCCCATAAAGAATTGCATAATTTGTGTCAATTATATGAATTAATAAAAAAACAAAATAATAGTATTTATCAAATGGATAATAATTTAATACTTGAAATACGATTGAATAATTTATGCTAATATATAAATTAATAAAAAATCAAAATATTATTTATTACATTGATAATAAAATAAAACACAAGAATTTATCTAAGTGTATGTTATAAGGTAATTAAGTATTAATTACAAAGTTAGGTATAATGATACTTACATATAATTTTGGTTTAAAAAGTTAAAATGTATAATCATTCAACCTCATATTAAATAACATACAGCATGGTATTGAAAATTAGATATATTTTTCTTTAATAATTTTTGTTGATTAAATATAAACCTTCTTCGAATAAAAAAACAATAATCAACTTGAAGAAGAAAATAAATAATTAAAAAAAAAAAAAAAAAGAACAATCTAGCAATTTCTATTGATTTGTTAACCTAATTAGTCGATAATTAGCTTAACAAATTAAACCAATAAAATATTAACAACAGTGTACGCTCTTCCCCATTGATAATATTGCTTAAAACCTCTGTCAAAAACATTCTCTCTCTCTCTCTCTCTCTCTCTCTCTGTAAATGCACACAGAAAAACAGAGCATCATCAATCACCATGGCTGCGAACAAATTTGCCACAATGGTGCATAACAACACAAACAAGATCACACTTGTTCTAATCTATGCTGTTCTAGAATGGATACTCATAATTCTCCTCCTCCTCAACTCAATCTTCTCCTATCTCATCATCAAATTCGCCCAATTCTTTGGCCTAAAACCACCCTGCCTCTGGTGTGTTCGTCTGGAATGCTTTTTCGAGCCCCAAAACAAGAATTCACATAGAGATCTTCTATGTGAGCTCCATGCTAAGGAGGTTTCCCAGTTGGGGTTCTGTTCGAATCATCGAAAGTTAGCTGAATCCCATGATATGTGTGAGGATTGCTCATCTGGGTTTCGAGAAAAATCGAGGAGTTTTATGTTTTCGAAAGTGAAACAGATTGATTTGGTTCAGAGTGATGGAGAAGAGAAGGTTCGTTTGAAGTGTTCTTGCTGTGGTGTCGATTTTGAGAGGAAAAGTTTTGATGATTCTTCTTACTTCGTGATTAATCCTTCCTGGGATTTTTTGGGGTTTTCCAAAAAAGGAAGTTCGATTATGGATCTAATCGGATCGGATTTGGAGACTGATAATTTTGGGGAAAAACAGGAAATTCAAATACAGATGAAAGAAACAGAGGCTACGGAGATTGAATCGATTAAGGATGATTTGATTCAATTTGAGAAAAAAGACGACTCAAATTCAGAAACACCCGCACAAGATCTCGAATTCTTCTTAGATTATAGTGGGCATCAATTAGTTCCAATCGAATCAATCGACGCAACCACTGTAGAATTTCGAAACAATTCAGAGGTTCATGAAGATCATGAATTCGGGGATTTCCAGAAAGCTCAAGCTACGTCAGAATCAACAATGGAAACAGTAACCCAGGAATTAGTAAAGGCGACCGACGAAACACTTTCTGTTCTTCAGAATTCCAAGGAATTGGAATCATCGAAACTCGCAGAGCTTGATTCAATGGAATTCGAAGAAACTGAAAATTCCCTTGTTTTTCATGCAAATTTAAGTGCTTTTTCAAATGAAAAACCTGCAATGTCTGAAGATAATCAAACTCCATTCGATAGTGAAGAACTTAAACAAACGGAGGAAAATCATTCAGGCAAGAAATTAACGCTTATAACTTTTATTTCATTATCATTTATGTTTTCAATATCGATTTTTCTTAAATAAAATACAATCATGCAGACAACGAAGAAGCAGAGGTTTCTATTGGAACAGAGATTCCAGTTTTAGATTCATGTGATGAGATCAAAGCTCAAGATAACTTCACTTTATATTCTTCATCACATGAAGAACCTTCAACAAGTTCTCACGATTTGGATTTCAATCTAGAATATGGTAATCTTTTAACTTGTTTAACGTGTACATTATATATTCATAGTCCAATTTCAAGAAACGAGACCATATCGTTTGTCTTTTTGTTTGTACCTAGGTTTCGATGAAGCTCGAGAAGAAGAAAAAACATGGGAATTAACAACAACAATGGAATCGGTAAGTGAAATGGATAACGGTGATCCAATTAACACAACAGAGAAGCTTAAATCGGCTTTGAGAGCAGAGAGGAAAGCATTACAAGCATTGTACACAGAGTTAGAAGAAGAACGAAGTGCTTCAGCAGTTGCTGCAAGTGAAACAATGGCGATGATAAATCGGCTTCAAGAAGAGAAGGCAGCAATGCAAATGGAGGCATTGCAATATCAAAGAATGATGGAAGAACAATCGGAATACGATCAAGAAGCTTTGCAATTGTTAAACGATTTGATGATGAAGAAGGAAAAGGAATTGGAATCGTGTCGAAAGAAAGTGTCGGAATACGAGGCGAAGGAAAGAATGCGGTTTTTGGCGAGTAGTGTGAAGAGCGGGACGTGTTCGGCTTCGTGTAGTCATTCCGAGGATGGAGATGGAATGTGGGTCGATGTGAATTCCGATTCCAAGGAAGATAACGGGAATCACGAAAACCGGAACCGGAATACACCGGTTGAAACCGTACTTAATCTAGACTCGTTTGTGGAGTTCGAGGACGAAAGGTTGTCGATTCTTGAACAACTTAAGGTTTTAGAAGAGAAGCTTTTCACTTTGAGCGATGAAGAAGATCGACATTTTAACGATATAGGTCAGATAGAGGATTACTTCGAAGAGAACGGAAAACATATAAACGGGAATGGAATTACGAACGTGTTCCCGATGGAATCACATTATCAAGATCGGAGATCGGATGGTTTAACGGGAAAGAGACTTTTACCTCTTTTTGACGCGCTCGATACCGAGAGTGACGACGGTGTAATTACATCAAACGGGAACGGAAACGGATTCCATTCCGACAAGATCGAAAACACTGCGGTTACAAGATTCGAGCTACAAAAGAAGAGAATCGACATTGAAGAAGAGGTTGATCAACTTTATGTAAGGTTACAAGCCTTAGAAGCAGATAGAGAGTTCTTAAAACATTGTCTTGGTTCTTTGAAAAAAGGGGATAAAGGGATGGAACTTCTTCAAGAAATCTTGCAACATTTACGTGATCTTAAAAGCATGGATTTAAGAGCGAAAAATTTCACTGATGAAACTCTTACATGATCGGATACAAGATTTTATAAGGTAACATAATGAAGTATTATTTATATTCATCAAATCAATCACTCAAATATCAAACATCAAAATTTCCATCATATGTACATATATTGCTTCGATATACTCGATAAAGAGGCAATTTAATGTTAAATGGAAAATTTGATTCCCTAGTAAAAATAATATGTTTTGTTATGATAAATGATTTGTACACACATTTTTTCTTGATTCCTAAAAAGTCGTAAAATAGAACATTCGGAAACAAAAATTGTTATGTATACGAACCTAACTCGTTTTTTATGTTTTATTATATTCATCAAATCAATCATAGAATTTCCATCATGTATACATATATTGCCTCGATGAAATGCAATTTACTATCATATGGAAATTCTGATTCACTAGTAAAACTACATATTTTCTTGTAGGTCCATTTATGTAATTTCTTGTTCTTTTTTTTTGGCACATTCTATAGGTGAAAAATGGGGCCATGGCTTAGAGAAATTGAGTGGGTATCCGTCAATTGAATGAAGAGGTCATATTTGGAAGGCTAAGCCACCAAACTTTTGTTCTTTTCTTGGTTTGATTTTTTTTTTTTTTTTTTCCTTTTTATTATTTGTTTTCAAAGCAACATATTTTTAAAGCTTAATCGGTTAAATTCAGAGTAATATACAAAATATTACTATCTCTAGTATATGTTGTTTATTCTGAATTTGATCATTTTGTTTTAAGAAAAAACTTGAAAATTTAAAAAACCCATTTTTTTTTCTTGTGGGGTAGGTGTAAAATCATCTCCATCTTTTGAGGGGAAAAGGTGGAAGGTGAACTCATATGTGTGTTTCTTTGTAGGTAGTTAGGTGTAGGATTTTGCTTTTTATTTTTTATTTTTTATTTTTTATGAAATTGTTTTGGAGTGATAAGAAAGGAAAGGGGGCCTATTCTTTATTACTTCCAAGTGTAATTTGTAAGTATGTAAAATTGGTATTTTAATTAGAGTTAAATGTTATGTGTGTAGTTATTTATTTATTTTACTTGTTTATTTAATTTAACCTTTATAAAAAAACGATAAATTATTAAAAGTAACACTTTAAATTTAAGTTTCTTATTATTAAGGTATGATCTTATTATGTTCATTTTGTACCGATATTTTTATTTTTATGGGTTCATTCATTATTAGCAAGCAGTACATGCAAATTTTCACTTATTGATGTTACCACCCATTTGGATGACCATTAACTAGGAATACTATGAGCAATAATTGGCTCTATAAGGGGATATATGTTCACCCTTTATGACAAAAAGGTACAAGATTTTATCTTAATGTCTATGCTATTTTTTTGATGATATCATCGTATTTTAAATAGTTTTTTTTTAACAACCAAAATTTATTAAGAAACTAGGGGAAGAACCCGTGGGCCATTGGCACGGGTTTGGATAGGTCCAGATGAATTTGGGCAATGGGTTTCCTTCGGGTTCGTTTTTGGTAAGGTAGAAAATATGCATAAAATTACAAAACTTGGTCAGAAATGATAAATTTACAAAACTTTGTTTAAGTTTAAATAAGGAGAGTTAAGTTATTACTTTGCCATGTACCACAAGCAATCACTACTAACATTATGTAACTTTTTGATCAATAAGTTTTTTGGAACTAACTTTAAGAGTGCATCTAAGGACTAAATCGTCAATTAACTCAAGCCTCCATACCCATTTTAATGCTTCGGGTTCATTTTCTGCTTTGTTACTTTGCTATTCCATGACCCAAGTTTTAGTATTTACCTATCACCAAATTAACCATTTCAATAATAAATAAGTATATAAATTTGTTCGGCTTTTATTTGAATATTTTTTTTATTTCACTCTAAGATCCTTTTTCTCCATACAAAAAGAAAGTCTTTAAAAAAACAAAGGATAAATAAATAAATAACCTTAAAATGTAGCGGTATGTATATCCATTTAGACAACAAACAACTACAAAACTAAAGTTCTAATTCAAAGTCGTATTAAATAAAACAAATTAGTGACAATTTGTCATCAATAAATAATCAAAAAACCAAAAACTTATTTTTACAACACGCCATACGATTTTGTAGGGAATGATTTTCTCACCCGGTATAAAAAAGAATAAATAAAGTTTAAAAAAATATGTAACCTCAACAACACAAGTCAACAATGATGCCCATTGTCCAATTCCTGCAAATAATTGCTAAAAGCTTAAATATCTAATTTTCACCTTCTTCAAATATACATAAATAATTAATTTCTCCACCTTAGCTTTTCAATGTTTGGTTCAATCATGTGAGATACATATATGAAGAATTCTATTTTAGTGAGGCTCTAGGATAGTAGATAGTCAGGCAAAAAAAAGTTCTCAGTATCGAGGTCCTGCCCACAACTTTTTGGTTTTTCACTAGGAATCTCTGTAAGTTAGCTATACTGATTACACTTTAAGTGTAACGTATATTTATATTCATGCTAGTTATTATAAATGTATAAATAAGATTTAATCAGTAATTTCAATCATAATACTAATTGATCTACTTACAGGAGATGTGTTTAGAATGGGCATGTTGTCTTGATTGTTGAAGTTCAGAAAAACTATATGTCGGAATAATCCTGCATTCCAACTGTCCTGCCTGGTTGATTCTTATTTGATATAACTCTTGGTGTTCATTGGGATTAGTAAAAGATCTAGATTTCATTATAGATTATCATAAAGAGTAAGAAGTTATAGTATTATAGGTTAATATTTGATAGAAACGTTACCTGCCAGTTGAATCATCAGAAGCATAATTGTTAATCGTTTGAGTAACTGCCCATGTGAGTTATCTCACTATACAATGTATTATAATATATGCCCATGTATGTTAGGATAGAAATCTAGTAGAGTAGAGCTGATAGTATAATCTCTATGTTCTTGAAACTGGTATTATAAAAAGTATAATTGTGTCTATGCTAGTAGAGTCTTAAGTACAATCTTTAAGTCTGTAATTGTTGTGATATTTGAATTATTGAGATTTAGTGAGGGAATGATGGTGGAATGACAAAGAGGCTGGGAACCTATAAAGTCATGTGTTTTCGAAATGGCATGTAGGTCGTAAGTACACATAGACCTGTATTGACGAAATGACATGTAGGTCGTAAGTACATGTAGACCCGTGTTGAAAACGAAATGGTTGGGCCGTAAGTCTGAGATATATATATATATATATATATATATATATATATATATATATATATATATATATATATATTATTGGCAAATCATGAGCCATTATATGTATGTGTGTATATGTATTATGGTATATGATATTTTGAGGAACTCACTAAGCCTCGTATTTATCCAATTGATTATAAATGTTTTTCAGGTACTTCAAGGATTTGCGAAAAGGGCAATGCTCGACTGTATACACATTCATTCACAACATGTTTCCGTATAATGCAATTATACTTTAATATAGGGATGAAAGTGGATCCAAACCCGGCCCGAAAAACCAGAAACTGGTTAATTGGATTTTATATGACCGAAAACCATACCGGTATATAGGAAACAGTTCCGGGTATGATACCAGTTAAAGTGGGTCTAGAACCGGAAAACTCAGAAACATCAAAGTGGGTACAGTAGAATCGGGTAAAGTAGGCTTAGAACCGGAAAACCCGAAAAAATCGGAATTTTTTGGTAATTACTTGCTACTTAGTAGGTTAAGCTTTAAAAGTTTTCATATTGATATCTCGACTTCAAGGGACTATAATTTGTTGAATATTAACCAAAAATTGACAAAAATATAGTATATCACGTACAAACTCTAAACTACACTCTAGGAAAAACTGTATGTCAATCCGACTTTAAACAAATGAGATGTGCATGTTTTAACATTTTCACAGAATATAAAGTACAAAAATAAATAGCTAAGAATTAAAAAAAATTAAGCTTTGATATCCCCACTTTAGGGACTATAATTCATTGAATACTAAACCAAAAATGAAAATTATAGGTTAGAATCATTTACAAACTCTAAACTACAAGTTGGAAAAAACCGCATGCCAATCTGACTTCAAAGGAATTATATATGCATGTTTTAAAATTTTCACAGAATACAAAAAAGTTGAAAAACTAAAAACTTACAGCTTTGATATCTCAACTTAGGGGGCTGTAAGTTGTTGAATATGAACCCAAAATTGACAAAATTATAGTTTAAAATAATGTATAAACTGTAAACTACACTCTAGAAAAAACCGTATGTCAATCCGACTTTAAACAAATGAGATATGCTTGTTTTAACATTTTTACAAAATACAAAGTACAAAAACAAATAGATGCAAAGTTAAAAAAATTCAGCTTTGATATCCCGATTTTGGGGACTGTAAATCATTAATGACAAAATTATAGCATAAACTCATGTATAATGTAACACTCAAAATCAGAAAGGCCAAGAAAGGAAAGAAAACCCTAAGTCAAAGGGTCAACTCGTCGAGTCCAAGGAGGAACTCGACGAGTCGGAGCGGGATCCATGGGATCGAGTAAGTAAACGACTCAGTGAGTCTGGTCTGAAGAGGGGAACCCTAAATCCGGGACTTTGTGCACTATTTAAGCATTCCATTCTCTCCCTTAGGGTTCCATATAGCCTCTCTTATCCATAATACGAAACCCTAAGCCTCTATTGTTGCACATTCAAGCTTTCTTGCCATTTTGGGTGATTTGAAGGAAAAAGGTAGAAGGGAACCATTAGGGATCCAAGGATTGGCAATAGATCCAGAGTTTGTGGGAATTTTCAGAGCATTTGAAGGTAATGAGTCGCTACCTTCACTCTTTTGAATATAGATCAACCTTTAACATGAGATTTGGGGCTTTAAGGGCAAGTTTAAGATCCATTTCGAGTTAGAAGCCCAGATCTTAAGTTGCTACTTCAGATCTAAGTGTATCTTGGCCTAGAGAATCATAAAGCATCAATCTATGGGTTAATTGTAGAGCTTCCTTGTCTTAAACCCTAGTTTATAGTGTTTTGAGCCTAGATCTCCTTAGCTACACGTAAAGTTTGCCACTTTACATGAGGAATAGGCTTTATAAGAGTGGACATGCAGTTTGGAGTCCATGCATGAATCAAAAGCCTCTGAATAATTGAAGGACTGAATAGACTCGACGAGTCCTTCGAGTGGACTCGGCGAGTAGTATGAAGATGGAAATGAACTCGACGAGTTGGATGAACAACTCGGCGAGTCTGTTGAAGATTGCCTTGGACTCGGCGAGTCTGTTCTTGGACTCGGCGAGTCAAGTCGCGAAACCCCAAACCTTTCGAGTTAAGACTCGGATCAGTGAGTTGAGTGGGGACTCAGTGAGTTGGACAGGACAGGAATCGGAAATCGGTAGACTCGACGAGTCGAGTTGCGAATGAAAGGATTCTGAGCATATAAACTCGGCGAGTCAGTAGGCAGACTCGACGAGTAGGGTTGACCTGGAAGGTTGACTTTGACCATGACTTTGACCTTGACCAGAGTGGACTTAGTTGACTTTCGGAGGACATTTTGACTGAGTGCTATATTGATATTGGTAGCTTGGGGAGCTAGTAGAGCAGCAGTTCATACAGAGTTGTCAGATAGTGGCCAGAGCGATTACCAACAAGTTCAGCAGTACCAG